CGCTACTTTCGCCATCCCTGCCTTCACCATGGCGGGGCCGGCAGGCATGAGGGTCGCGGCTGTGAACGGTGTCAAGGTCTACACTGTCTCTGGCCACCGCCAGTTTGCATCCTGGCTCCCCCCCAACAAGAAGCGTGCACTCCGTAAAGATCAGGGTAGGTGCCTTGTTTCTGCATCTCTCTCTGCGTGCTCCCAAGTTTCTCTCTCCTTTCATCTGCCCGTTTTTTCTGAATATTATCTGGCGTATAGAAAAATTTGTCAACCTGCTACCTGTGCTGAGGATTATAGACTCCCTTTTTTTTTCTTACCTTCCACTAGCTTCTACGTTGTCTAGCACTATAATGTAGAAAAAATGAGAGTCATGAATAAGTGTGCTAAGTACGGCGCCATCGATTCTGTAACCTGACAATCTAGATAATTCGGTTCACTCTTGAGAGTATGTTCTAGGGAGTATTTCCTACAAGCTCTAGGAAAATAGTAAGAACTCCATGCATAATATAACTTTTAAATCGGTGCGTAATTCTCCCAGAAGGAGGATCGTATTTGCTAATTATGATCCCACTCCTATGTTTGCACCCTTGACAGTACATCGAGACTGCAGCAGCTTTAATTATGCTGTATTATTTCTGTTATTGATACTTTTGAACAGTACTTGTGCAAGGTTTATCCCATTATTACCACATCTTTTCCTTTACACGTTGTTCTAAAGCAATATTGTAACGCGAGGAATTTTAGAAGTGTAATGCTAGAATGTAGAGCTGTTTCCAGTATGATTTCAAACAGTTTTTCAAGTGGAGGGCTGTGCGCAGAGAATTGAACGAATTCTGAACACATGCGATACCACCATTCACTTATAAAAATTAGGGCTGTTTTTTAATACTCGTGATCCATGTTATCGTCATGTATGAACAGTTGTGTTTGGTCTGCTATCCTGAAAGTTCTGTGAATTTTTTAACATCATTGCCTGTGGTGGTAATCTTATGTTGAGAACAGACTATCTGAGACGAATCGACCTAGTCCAAGATCTAGAATTCAATACTGCTGCTACTCGCATGAAGACTACTTCTGATGGACAGTATATCATTGCATCTGGTATGACACTGCATAGTTTTGAAATATACTTTTTGAATATTTTATTTCTTAGTTGTAGTTTGGCTGCAAGATATCTTGAGGAGACCATTGTAGATTATGGGTTTATTGCAACGCCTGCTAAGTAGTGATGTCTTTCTTACCAAACACAGTAGATTATGTCTAGTTTTGGGCCAATCGTCTCGGCTTATTTCCATCGAAAACCTCTTGGTCCATTGATACGAGGGTTTTCAAACTCTTAGACTTAATTTTGTCCTTTTTGAAAGCACTAAGACTTCTCTGTCACTTGAAAACATCAGTTGCAAAGTAAATTTCTGATTTCTAGGCATTCTGATTCTCGAAGTTACTTCGTAGGTATTTATCCTCCACAGGTTCGGGTTTTTGAAGTTAGCGAGTTGTCACTGAAATTCGAGCGACACCTCACGTCTGAGATAGTTGATTTTCAGGTACTTCTCATTCATTTTCTTACAGGAGTAGCGAGAAGATAAACAGAGAAATTCAGTAATTTATTTCCATTACATCTTTTATCTGTGACGGAGGAGAGAGGGATTCTGAAGTGATTTTCGGCAGTGTCTGAACGATTCAACATAAGTCGATTCTGAATTTGGAAATGACGTGGTCGTGGCAGGTTCTAGGAGATGACTATTCCAAACTGGCGTTTCTATGTGCAGATCGTTCTGTATGGCTGCATGCTAAATTTGGCAGTTATTTCAGCACACGCATTCCGAGGTGAGTTGTGACCAGGGTGTGATGATATTGCCTCTACTTGAATGAGTGGACGATACTTTAGAATGTGTCGTCAAGTGCTGAATATCAACTCTCTTCTAAGTGTTGGGTGGATTCCAGAATGGGAAGAGATCTTTGCTATGATCGTTGGTCTTGCGATCTACTTCTAGCCGCATCATCCCCTGAAGTCTACCGACTGAATTTGGAGCAGGTACGTCGTTCATCAATGAATAGGATGGGTATCATGTCTAGTCTTAAAATTGTGCTGGAGCGCCATCGGAGCTAATACCGAGTATTACTTGGTCGTAGCTGCTCCTGAACCCCCTCTTAATTCAGTCTCTTTTGCTTCGGGTTAACGTTTTGACCAGGTCTTCGATACAATCATCACACTGAAGCTCTTTTGAAATGACATGATTATTCGCATATCGTGTTCTACATATGGGACAAGCGCAAAACTTTTGACCTTGACAGACGAGCAGTAAACTTCACATGTATTGTGTCATTTTGCAGGGTCGTTTTCTTGCCCCTCTTACCACACAGTCGCCTGGTATAAATGTGCTTGGTCGTAGGTGGGTGTTTATAGTCTTTCAATTTTTAGTTGTATCTTCATTGATTTATTCCTTCGTTCTTTCTCTTTTAAAAATTTTTATTTTTATTTTTATTTTTATTTTGCTGCATGGCCTTTCTTTAAAGCTTCAAGGAAATGGATCTATGCATCAAATGTGCGAGGCTGGTTCCTACCGTATCTCTTATTTTGAGAATCCGTCTGTATTAAAGGTTTCGCACATGATGTCAAACCTGACACAAGTGTCCTGGATGTGCACGGTCACGAAAGCCCAGTGCATGGGTTGATTGCATGCGGAGGTGAAGATGGGTTTGTAGAGTGTTTTGACCTCAGACAAAAGGCTTCTGTTGGGCGGGTTCTTGCTGTAGGTGCTGGCAACGAGGATCAAGTAAGGGATCAGCCAACACTGTTTACCATTGGCATAACTTGCTGGGATATTTCCTGTTGTGTTTATGTTCTGCGTATCTCTATATAAGATACAGCATTTCGCAGGACAATACCATTGTGTCTTCTAAGTTGTGTAACGAATATGTTGCTCGTTATTCTTGTATTTCGAACTTGTACGTAGTTTTGTTGTTTCAGAAATATGTATTAGTTTTAAGGAGATCAAATCCAGTCATTCTAAGGTGTGGCAATCTGCATGATTTGGCTGTGTTAATTCCAGGAGGTGACAGCTTTAAGATTTGATGAGAGCGAGGGTATGCAAATTGCAGTTGGTACAAGTGGTGGTCAGGTAAGATTTTCAATCAGTCAGGTCGTTGAAGTAGTTTCGAGCAATGCCCCTGGCATCTGTTGACATCATTCTGGGCCTCTACTTATGCAGTTTAAGTCAAAATAGTTTGTAGTACTCTTAAGACGTTGCGTTTCAAGTGTTGATTAATATATTTCTGATGTATTGCATCAATATTTTTAGTTAGCTCCTGGCGTTTTGATTAATATTATTATTTTGCAAGCCTTCATGTTACGTTCTGCTGTTTTCTGGTGGACCAGGTGCTACTTTATGACTTGCGATCATCCACGCCAATCTTGATTAAAGATCACATGTAACATGTCTTACTGTTATCTTCCTACGCATGATTTGTCCCTCTATTTTACACACACGCTCCCACTCAGGAACCCCAAAAAATATCACAATTTTTAGAATTTTGTTTTGCAAGCATTATTTAAAGTTGTATTATCATCGTCGTAACTTCGGGGTTTCCTTAGCGGAGAAATTGAAGGTTGTTATCTGCTATTACTTATGCTACGTTTAGATTCTTTTGAGACACACTTGAGCAGCTCATTGTACAGCTCTGTGGTACACAGTCATTTTGACGCTGATTGTCACTTTTTGTTTCATTCAATTATATCCACTGTTCGTAATGGCTGGCGGCATAGAATTATTATAATGTAACCAGGTTTGATGCTTCGACTGAATACATTTTTCACATTTTCCAGGTATGGTAGTCCTGTCATGGATATTAAATGGCACGAAAGCGTCAGCACTGCTGCTAAGAACTTGATTACTTCAGATAGTCATATCGTGCGTATATGGAATCCGCAAACGGTCAGTGTCAGATTCTCATACCAGAGTTTTTATTGGTAATCTAATTTGATTCGATTTTCAATTTATTAATTGATAATCAATTGATTTTTAGCACTGCCGGTGCTTTCAGTTGCAAAAACAAAGGAGCTACTGCAGGCACTCCTACTAAGCGAAAGTGCGCGTCTCTGTAATCTTTAGGTGTAAACTTATGTTAAATAAATTCGACTTCAGGTCACTGTTTATTGAAGTTGAAAGTGAATTTTGTTCTTCGATGAGCGCAGGGTGACAGTGTGACGAACATAGAAGCACCAACTGGCGAGATTAATGATGTGTGCGTGGTGAAGAACAGTGGTCTACTTTTCATGGCACTTGATTCGCCCCGCATATCCTCTTTTTTTATTCCTTCTCTTGGTCCTGCTCCTCGATGGTGTTCTTCTCTAGAGGGTCTTACAGTAAGTCTCTTCTCCCTGCGATTCTCCTTGTAAGTCATAGTTGATGTGAGGAAGTAGTATAACTACACCTGTTCTTGTGTCGTAGTGATTCCATATGCAATACTCATTTTCTAATCTGATATCATGTCTGCATGCTGAAATATGGAACAGGAAGAGTTAGAGGAAGAAAATGAAACTACTATTTATGAGGATTACAAGTTTGTCACACGTGAAGATTTGGAGCGCTTGAATTTAACCAATTTGTTAGGCACCAACTTGCTGCGAGCTTATATGCATGGTTTTTTTATCGACCATCGTCTCTATGTGAAGGTCATCTTTACTTTTCCACTTGTCCTGTCTTAGCCAGTGGATTCACGTTATCTTTTTTTACATTTTGTACTATGAGCAGCCAGCCAGTTTCTTAGTTTTATAGAAAAGAAAACGTGTACAGATATCATTGATTGTGGGTACAAAATAAGAATTGCATTTGATGCGTGGAATATTAACTTTTCAGGCAAAGGCAATGGCAAATCCCTTTGCATACGAAGAACATCGGCAGAAGGCTATACGGGAGAAGCTCGATGCTGAGCGAGCTGCTCGAATTTCGGTACGGAGGTTCCTTTTCAAACTGGCAGTTCATTCCTGCTCATGAGTATGCTCGATTTAAGTCAATGTCTTAATTGTATCAAGTGCGCTGAATTGCTATTTGAACAACATCAAGTCAATGCCATTGTTCAGAATATTTGATAATGTAAATCACGGCTCTTATTTTCTCCATCCTGGAAGTTGAATGCTATAGTTGTTTGCTTTAGAACGATTGTGTGCTGCTGCATGTTTTTAATATCTTATCAATCTGAGTAGATCGAGGAACTTAATTTAGAGCACAAGTTGACAAGGGTGGTCATTTACAGGTGAAGAAGAAGTTACCTAAGGTTAACAGGGAACTTGCTGCTCGTCTTCTCGCTGGTGCTGGAGCCGAAGAGGAGATTACTGAAGCGCCTTCTGAAGGGGCAAAGAAGGATAGCCAACGAAAAAAGCAGAACATTTCTCTTCTCAAGGATGATAGATTTGCCGCAATTTTCAAGAATGAGGTAAATTAATCTGGCTGTTTTGATTGACATTGGTATGTCCAGAGTAGAATGTTGAATTTGTTGTTGCTTATGTGGCCTAAATCCCTCAGCTTGTGAGTGTATCGGTGTTGTATTGTATAATCAGCTGTTCAGCGCGAGGTAGTACGTCTTTATGGTTGTATTCGTTCGCTAAGTACTTGTTATTTGGCAGGCTTTTGAAGTGGACGAAGATGCTCCGGAATATCTTGCACTTCACCCTAATAAGCAGAAGAGCAAAAAATCACTGGTGACAGAGCATTTTGACCTTGTATCTGATGACGATAAAGAAAGAGATTCTGAAATTAAGGACGACTCTGATGCTAGCAGCTCATCTTCGGATGAAGATGAGACTAATCGTGCGAAGGGTAAACGACAGCAGGGTAATGAGAAGACTAACGCGTCTGGAATGAAGAGGAAAGCCACAGAGCCAAGGTTGGTGGTTTGAGCCATTTTACTAATCTGTTTTTTGCCGACTAGTTTTTTGGTGGACTCATTCCTCTGACTAGGTTATTCCTCATGGCATAACTCTAGGTGTTTGTCGGTTCCTTATTACTGAGACACCATCCTTGGGATCTTTTGGGTATATCTAAAGCATGCTACGAACACGCGAAAGATGGTGACTGTCCGCCACGTCATGCAATTTATGTTGTGGAGTTGCTGGAGTCGTGTGGAAAGGGTCACTGCATTGTACAGAAATTAAAACGTACGCATAGATTTCAACATTTGTCTGGAAAAAATATCTTTGAAGTACGTTTAATCGTTCGTAGTTGAGTGACTTGAGTGAGGTATTGACATAGTAGTGTCTTTCTCATAGGCTTTACGAAGTGAAGGATGAAACCCATGCTCAAGCTTTCAAGAACAAGGTGTCCCTGAAAGTTGAAAGAAGTCGACCTCTTGAGGAGCGGTTAGCAACAAGTGGATACAAAGCAAGGGGACGAGGCGACTCTTTCTTTGACGAAGAGGTAGCTGTGCGAGGTCATGGAGGGAGCAGACAGGTGTCGTTTATTCCCCGAGGTGGTTCTGGAGATTCTAGGGGACGAGGTCGAGGCCGAGGCCGAGGGAGCTCAGTCAGTGGCAGGGGGAATAGTGAAAGTGGCTCAAGAGACTTCAAGAAACGAGGTGTACAGTCCTTAGGGCTCAAGAGCGACAGGCCCGGCGGCATGCGTGGGGGTCGGGGCTTCCGCGGAAGAGGCCGAGGCAGAGGTCGCTCATAGGGACACCATTCTCGCATCAAAGATGGATTTTACATCACGGCCTAGTGTAGGTTGAGATTCGAACGATTTAAGAGCGCTAAAATACTTAAGCCTCTTGTTGCTCTGATCTTTTACAATTGAACTAGTTTCTTCTTTAACTTACTATATCCCATGCTTGACCTCGATAAGTTCTTGTGACATTGCATACTTGGCAGTATTGACATTTAGGAACAATCAGTGTCCGAGTTATAAGGGTGTACATGTTCTGGGCTGGTTATTAGAAAGGACCGGACAGCCGTGTTGCTTATCGATGCTCTAGTTGCCTCTTGTACATGTTTCTATGGTCGTGCGTGATACGTTGTGTGACTCTATGCTGAGTCCACGTGAGGCGCATTTGTAGTCCACACAGCATTACATGCATGCAACTGCAGAATATGAATTATGAACCCGTGTTGAATATTCCACTTGCAACGTTCAGAAACCTATATCAGAGGCATAAGCTGAAATGATTACAACAGAGTTGTGGATCTTCAGTTTTAGTGGTATTACTAATTCAAATTTGCAGTCACTGGAAACATCTTAAATTCAACGACGAAAAAAATGGTGTCCACTTAGAAATTGCCTTGTAGCAGCCGACAATAGGGGTTAAATCGTGAACTGGAATTCAAACCTATTAGTTGAAGACCTTAGCCGAAATATTTCCAAATCATTCTTGAATAATACATCTTATATATCAAAATGTGTTAATTCACGAAGTTCAATTTTACATTCCATGAGCGAAAATGGCACGCAGTCCATTGTTTTCAAACAAACAGCAATTCAAGTGATAGATATATATGTTAAATATTGCAGTCATCCTCATTGTAACTAGTCAGGAAAAGACAACTTACAATGCAATTTAGATGGAAAATGTAACAAGAATAAATTTCCAAACCTACTATGTCTCCAAAAACTAAACTTATATAGATTAAAGATGGTGAGCCATTCACCCCAAAATCCAGCAAAAGAACTACAACTCTTGACATACTTTGTGGATATGATATCGTAACTCATCATACATACGATTTCTCAGAGTGCTCAGATAAAATACAGTCTCTCAATAAGCAGAGCACATTGCTTCCCACATCTTCTACATTTTCGACGACGTCGACGTGGTCGAAAATCGAGCATCGTAGACTCATCGGTGAAATAACCTTGAAAATTTCAAACCTACATCAGTTCAAAAACTCACCAACCAATCTGCCCACCAGAAACCCTAATCAAGGGAACCAAAGAAACAGAAGTGGATGAAAATTTGGAAGTCCCAATCACCAAGTAACGTTTACCTTTACCGATGTCAGAAACTCCGATTCTATCCCAAACACTTCATACAAAAACCGTTAGTTCACAATGTAGGGCAGAAATTTCAATGCAGAATCGGTACCGGGAGCGCTGAGCAAAGCTACTTCTAATTAACAAAATATTTCTCCACAACAAATCCTTCCAAACGAACATACCCCCGAGATCATATCATCACCAGGGTCGGGTCATGCCGGCCGGATTTCTTCCACCCACACTGGCACCTGGCCCCGGAGGCTACAAAACGCCAGCCAACGATCCAAATAGCTCAGTTCAACTGTTCAACCCAGTCAATCTCCCCCTCCGCAATGCATTCCTTCCATCACCTAATATTGTTCCACCACGATTGATCGATCAATCGAATTCACCATCTCCATTTACTCCTTCCCATGCCTAGCCGCCGCTAAACTCGTCGCCCCGTCCATCCTACCGTTTGCCGCAGCCCCTGCCGTGCTCTTTTCCGAGTCCGCTCTTCCAAGGCTTCCGTGGAAGAGCAAGCCTAATTTTCTAGCCGTTTCTTTCACTTTCTTTGGGGTTTGCGTTTGAATTTCCACTCCTCGTCCTCGTCTCGTCTCGTCTGCCGCGAGAGCTCGCGCACTTGCAGCCGCCGTGTTCAGCATCAGCGTACGTCTCTGGGACGGATTCCGCAGCATTGAGCCCCCGTTTTGTGCTTGCCTGCCCCGGCACCATGTGCGGAGCGTGGTGAATTTGGCTCCCGTGCAGCTTTCGGTGTGGATTCGCTTCGTATTGGAGTCGGGACTGGGAGGTCTGGATAGGGCGGCGGAGCTTCTGCTAACTGCGGATTCTGGTCCTAGCGGAGTCGGCAGGGAGGGCTGGATTCCCGCCCGACTTGAGCCGTTTTTTCTCAGTGTGGTCGAACGGCGAGGGGCTGAGCATCGCTGGCGTGAAATGAAATGTGTCGAGGGGTGTTTGGACAGAGTGCGTCGGAATGCCACATTGTGCTTTGAAGCTTGTGGTCGTGTTTTAATTCCTTTGGGCGGGAAATAGAGCGTGTGTAGCTTGCAGATCGGACAGGTATCGTGTGAATTTGGCCGTGAGAGGCTTTGGAGGATCCTGGCTGCGACCGGTGAGAGGCATTAGAAACGCTATCGGCCACCTTGGCTTGGTTGGAGGTCGCATGTTGGCCAGATCGGGTTGCATTGTAGTGTCGGAGGAGGTACGGAGTCGAGCGTTCTCTGGAAGCTGTAAGAACTTTGGCGAGTGCGAAAGCGGAGGTGGAATATGAGGTCGTATACTTAGTGAACAAGGCGAGGCTCTGCAGATAAGAGGCGCAAGCTTTGGACGAGCGGGCATCATGCAGGTCGGCAGCCGCCTCGGCAGTCCGCGGGCAATTCGATGGCGGAAGGGGGAGCTAATTGGAGCAGGTGCACTTCATAGTCTTTCTTATCTTAAGCGATGCTGGATATGTGGGCTCTTCCATTCACCTTCATGTGTGTAGGTTGCCACGCGACACGCTCGCGACACGCTCGCGACCTGGCTGCGGCCTTGATAATACTAGGTGCCCTCCGTTTTCGTGAATCACCACCGTGAGAAGCTTCATGCGACGTGAGCACGCTTGGACTATATTGTCCCATCCTGCGACTTTGCCTCGGAGTTTAGCAATTGGTCACCAACCTTGTCCTTCCCTTTCTGGGAAAAATTAGTTTCCCTCTCACAACTCTTGCAGGGAAAATCCCTGTAACTGGTTTATTGAAGCATTGACATGCTTTCTGGTTAGCCTGGGACGTTGAAGAAGGGTATCTTCCTGCCTCCTTACTGACGTTGTTGGGCACTTGAATGTTTGCAGGAGCATATGGGCGAGTGTACATGGGCCTGAATTTGGACTCCGGCGAACTGATTGCAGTGAAGCAGGTGTGCATTGCACAGAACAACGTCACCAAAGACAGGGCTCAATCCCACATTCGCGAGCTGGAGGAAGAGGTGAAGCTTCTCCAGAACCTGTCTCATCCCAATATCGTGCGTTATCTGGGAACTGCTAGAGAGGAGGAAGCTCTGAACATTTTCCTTGAATTCGTTCCTGGAGGATCGATTGCCTCTCTCCTGGGAAAATTTGGCTCCTTCACGGAGACCGTCATCCGGATGTATACCCGCCAGCTGCTCCTTGGACTGGAATACCTCCATAGCAACCATATCATGCATCGGGACATCAAGGGTGCGAACATTCTGGTCGACAACAAAGGGTGTATTAAGCTCGCTGATTTCGGTGCATCTAAGAAAGTTGTTGAGCTCGCTACCATCTCCGAAGCTAAATCCATGAAGGGGACGCCTTACTGGATGGCTCCTGAGGTCATTCGGCAGACTGGTCACAACTGGCAGGCCGACATGTGGAGCGTTGGGTGCACCGTCATAGAGATGGCGACTGGCAAACCTCCCTGGAGTCAGCAGTTTCAAGAAGTAGCAGCGCTGTTTCACATTGGAACTACCAAGTCTCATCCTCCCATTCCTGAGCATCTGTCTGCGGACGGGAAAGACTTTCTGTTAAAACTTTTACAGAGGGAGCCTCGGTTGAGGCCGAGTGCTGCAGAGATGTTAAAGCATCCATTTGTACAGAACTACGAGATATGCAGTGGACGGGAAGGGGGCGAAGGGGGCGAGGGTGGTCAGGTGTTGGAAGGGCATTTGGAGCCGACAAATGATGGGTGCAGCGTGAGAACGTCGATGTCTTTCCTGGATTCGTTAAGAGGTTCATTACGACAGAGCGGTGTGGGATTCTGGAAGCCGGGTGGTGTATCTGTGAAGGAGCTCTCATTTTCCTTCAAGGACCCTCGAGCGTCCTTCAAAAAGTACTTGAGCATGAGCAGGGGCGGGAATACTTATGGCGAGGATATGAATTGTTCGGTGCGTTTGGATTCTGTGCGGATGGATTCCTTGAGGAATTCAATGAAGTTAGATTCTGTGAGGGATTCTGTCAGGTTGGACTCTTTGAGGGACTCCGTTAGGTTGGACTCGGTTCGACACGATACGTGGAGCGAGAGTTTTAATCCCGTTTCCGAGCCTTCATTTGTAGACAACAACAAGTGGCGGTTCAATTTGACAACAAACGGTGGATTTTCTGTAAGACCTTCGGCTGGTAACGGTGCAGAGTGTTCGGAGAACCGTGCGGTTGTACGGCAGAGTCAAAGTGAGAGGGGTTGGTCTTTACGGCAGGAGGATGAAGAGGAGGTTACGGAGAGCAAGATTCGTGCGTTTTTAGATGAGAAGGCTCTGGAGTTGCAGAAGCTCCAAACACCCCTGTACGTGGAGTTTAATGATTCTTTGAGAGCCTCCGTGTTTCATGGCAACGGAACTTCAGCGGCACCTGCGGAGAGTTTCGTTGCGCCTTTGAGTCCCGCTATAGCTAAGCAATCTACACGCAGTACAAGTAAGTCACCTAGCAAAGCCAGCAATGGGAACGGAAGGCCAGCGGGTACTCGCAGCAGCCAAGAGAGTGAAACCAGTGTAGACTCCGATAACACAGGTGGGGGCACAGGTCCTTCTACAAGTGTTAGCTTCAACCCTCTTCTGGAGATACCATCTCCAAAGTTGAATGAGCTGAAGGGGCTGAACCCTGATGCCCGGCGGTCTTCGTCCAGTCCTGGTCTGAGTTCCAGTGAGCGCCAAAGGTTATGGAAAGAGGAACTTCAGCAGGAACTTCAACTGAAACGGGAAGAGAAACGCAAGCACATTCAAAGGGTTCCTCCGTTGTCTCCGTCTCCTAATTCGAGAGTGCATCAACGTCCAGGTAGCAGTCGATTAGCCACTGTATCTCAGTTATAGAAAGTTATGATGGTACTCTTGCCTCGAGGAGTTGGATGTCATGATTTATTAGGTGGATGTGTGGCGCATTTCTTGTCACTAATTAGTGGAACGTCTCACAGCATTTGCGCACCCGTTAGCTCGGCCCAGCCAAATGGTCGGCATCTGGTCCCCTGACGCTTTTCTTTAGATTTGTAAACTTGTAATTTTCACGTCGCAAATAAATATTAGTGGGTGAATGGACCTGGATTGGTGTATGGTTTTGTTCCTTTTTCTTATGCTTGTATGATTTCATTCTCTACGTACATTCCAGTGACTTGAAGATTTTAGGGTGTAACTTTTTTTGAAGGGTTATACCTACTTCGTGATAATTGTATTTCCTTCATCACTCTTCCTTGTCTGGAAACTGGGTGTGTGATAGTGTCTTTTAGAGGAGCTTAGGCTAAATGTCAACAGTTTGTGAAGTCTCTAATCATACCAAGAGCTGCATACGGCCCGTGGCAGAAGTGAATGTTGGAACAAATCATCAGATTGACTCGCCTTATGGTGGAATGCAATTCTACTTCAAGTAAAAGCTAAGTTGGTACAAGAAGGCCATGAGGGCGTTGCTTCTTTTAAGGTTAGCGAATAGGCAAAGAAATAGTAACTTAGCGGAAATTGTTCTACACTTGTTAACTCGCTAAGTTATCATCTCGAATGAAATGGAGAAGGGATCGATATCAGAATGTATAAATACACTGCAAAGTGAACAGTACTTTGAAGTAAATTATTTACTTCCTAAGATACTACTTTGTCATTGATATTGTCTCAACATGGTATGAGTGAATTGGGTATGTTTTTTTTAGAGAGTAGCATGCTTGAGAGCAAAACTAGAGTGATTAGTGAATTATACATTGCAGTTGCTAGAGAGACAAATAGGCCTAGATAAAAGTTGATTTGTAGACTCTTTCAAAGACACACACATGTAGTATCACATGAGTTGGTTTATACCTGTGGATTTACAAACAGAGAGAGAAAGTTAGATTTGATTGAGAGTAGGGAATGGCAAAAGGTTTGTGTAGTATTTTTTTATCTAACAAATTAGAAGGTGCCTCCAACTATAGAGTGTGATGGATCTACATTATAACAATTTTTAAAGAAAAAAAGTTGTGGCACTACTTGTGCTCCAAAGAGACTCATAAAACTACAAAGATTGTAGAAGTTTTGAAAGAGCTCAAGAGAGGGAAAATAAATGTAAATAAAAATAAAAAATACAACACAATGACAATTATTATTCTATCACTAAAAGATAATGTATTACATCATGTATCAAATATAGAGAGAAAGTTAGATTTGATTGAGAGTAGGGAATGGCAGAAGGTTTGTGTAGTATTTTTTACAGATTATAATTACCGTAACAAATACAAAAATTTGTGTAATGAACAAAATATCCGAAGTTGATGTCTTGCATAGTCAATTATGACACGTTAATTATTAAATACTGGACACAATGACCCACAATGTTGAAGGACTACCTTACCTCAAAATACAAAATGTATCATGTTAATAATGAATCAAAGGAAAGCTAACAAGAGCAAATATTCTTACAGTTAGATTATACACATGCCACACAAATAAATGAGGTAATTCATAAAAAAAGTTTGCCTACAAGAACATATACTTGGTACCCTATATTTTTGATTTAAAATATGTTTGTTGAATCTCTAGTAACATGCTTAGTTGCTCCTAAATCTAGATACTAATTGTAATCTTGAGTTTTAATGTCTAAAGCCATCATAGCAGCTTAAAATATTTTTGATGTATTGACTATTTCTTTTGGTTTTGATTCATTCTAAAGTATATTTGATACATGATGTAATACATTATCTTTTAGTGATAGAATAATAATTGTCATTGTGTTGTATTTTTTATTTTTATTTACATTTATTTTCCCTCTCTTGAGCTCTTTCAAAACTTCTACAATCTTTGTAGTTTTATGAGTCTCTTTGGAGCACAAGTAGTGCCACAACTTTTTTTCTTTAAAAATTGTTATAATGTAGATCCATCACACTCTATAGTTGGAGGCACCTTCTAATTTGTTAGATAAAAAAATACTACACAAACCTTTTGCCATTCCCTACTCTCAATCAAATCTAACTTTCTCTCTCTGTTTGTAAATCCACAGGTATAAACCAACTCATGTGATACTACATGTGTGTGTCTTTGAAAGAGTCTACAAATCAACTTTTATCTAGGCCTATTTGTCTCTCTAGCAACTGCAATGTATAATTCACTAATCACTCTAGTTTTGCTCTCAAGCATGCTACTCTCTAAAAAAAACATACCCAATTCACTCATACCATGTTGAGACAATATCAATGACAAAGTAGTATCTTAGGAAGTAAATAATTTACTTCAAAGTACTGTTCACTTTGCAGTGTATTTATACATTCTGATATCGATCCCTTCTCCATTTCATTCGAGATGATAACTTAGCGAGTTAACAAGTGTAGAACAATTTCCGCTAAGTTACTATTTCTTTGCCTATTCGCTAACCTTAAAAGAAGCAACGCCCTCATGGCCTTCTTGTACCAACTTAGCTTTTACTTGAAGTAGAATTGCATTCCACCATAAGGCGAGTCAATCTGATGATTTGTTCCAACATTCACTTCTGCCACGGGCCGTATGCAGCTCTTGGTATGATTAGAGACTTCACAAACTGTTGACATTTAGCCTAAGCTCCTCTAAAAGACACTATCACACACCCAGTTTCCAGACAAGGAAGAGTGATGAAGGAAATACAATTATCACGAAGTAGGTATAACCCTTCAAAAAAAGTTACACCCTAAAATCTTCAAGTCACTGGAATGTACGTAGAGAATGAAATCATACAAGCATAAGAAAAAGGAACAAAACCATACACCAATCCAGGTCCATTCACCCACTAATATTTATTTGCGACGTGAAAATTACAAGTTTACAAATCTAAAGAAAAGCGTCAGGGGACCAGATGCCGACCATTTGGCTGGGCCGAGCTAACGGGTGCGCAAATGCTGTGAGACGTTCCACTAATTAGTGACAAGAAATGCGCCACACATCCACCTAATAAATCATGACATCCAACTCCTCGAGGCAAGAGTACCATCATAACTTTCTATAACTGAGATACAGTGGCTAATCGACTGCTACCTGGACGTTGATGCACTCTCGAATTAGGAGACGGAGACAACGGAGGAACCCTTTGAATGTGCTTGCGTTTCTCTTCCCGTTTCAGTTGAAGTTCCTGCTGAAGTTCCTCTTTCCATAACCTTTGGCGCTCACTGGAACTCAGACCAGGACTGGACGAAGACCGCCGGGCATCAGGGTTCAGCCCCTTCAGCTCATTCAACTTTGGAGATGGTATCTCCAGAAGAGGGTTGAAGCTAACACTTGTAGAAGGACCTGTGCCCCCACCTGTGTTATCGGAGTCTACACTGGTTTCACTCTCTTGGCTGCTGCGAGTACCCGCTGGCCTTCCGTTCCCATTGCTGGCTTTGCTAGGTGACTTACTTGTACTGCGTGTAGATTGCTTAGCTATAGCGGGACTCAAAGGCGCAACGAAACTCTCCGCAGGTGCCGCTGAAGTTCCGTTGCCATGAAACACGGAGGCTCTCAAAGAATCATTAAACTCCACGTACAGGGGTGTTTGGAGCTTCTGCAACTCCAGAGCCTTCTCATCTAAAAACGCACGAATCTTGCTCTCCGTAACCTCCTCTTCATCCTCCTGCCGTAAAGACCAACCCCTCTCACTTTGACTCTGCCGTACAACCGCACGGTTCTCCGAACACTCTGCACCGTTACCAGCCGAAGGTCTTACAGAAAATCCACCGTTTGTTGTCAAATTGAACCGCCACTTGTTGTTGTCTACAAATGAAGGCTCGGAAACGGGATTAAAACTCTCGCTCCACGTATCGTGTCGAACCGAGTCCAACCTAACGGAGTCCCTCAAAGAGTCCAACCTGACAGAATCCCTCACAGAATCTAACTTCATTGAATTCCTCAAGGAATCCATCCGCACAGAATCCAAACGCACCGAACAATTCATATCCTCGCCATAAGTATTCCCGCCCCTGCTCATGCTCAAGTACTTTTTGAAGGACGCTCGAGGGTCCTTGAAGGAAAATGAGAGCTCCTTCACAGATACACCACCCGGCTTCCAGAATCCCACACCGCTCTGTCGTAATGAACCTCTTAACGAATCCAGGAAAGACATCGACGTTCTCACGCTGCACCCATCATTTGTCGGCTCCAAATGCCCTTCCAACACCTGACCACCCTCGCCCCCTTCGCCCCCTTCCCGTCCACTGCATATCTCGTAGTTCTGTACAAATGGATGCTTTAACATCTCTGCAGCACTCGGCCTCAACCGAGGCTCCCTCTGTAAAAGTTTTAACAGAAAGTCTTTCCCGTCCGCAGACAGATGCTCAGGAATGGGAGGATGAGACTTGGTAGTTCCAATGTGAAACAGCGCTGCTACTTCTTGAAACTGCTGACTCCAGGGAGGTTTGCCAGTCGCCATCTCTATGACGGTGCACCCAACGCTCCACATGTCGGCCTGCCAGTTGTGACCAGTCTGCCGAATGACCTCAGGAGCCATCCAGTAAGGCGTCCCCTTCATGGATTTAGCTTCGGAGATGGTAGCGAGCTCAACAACTTTCTTAGATGCACCGAAATCAGCGAGCTTAATACACCCTTTGTTGTCGACCAGAATGTTCGCACCCTTGATGTCCCGATGCATGATATGGTTGCTATGGAGGTATTCCAGTCCAAGGAGCAGCTGGCGGGTATACATCCGGATGACGGTCTCCGTGAAGGAGCCAAATTTTCCCAGGAGAGAGGCAATCGATCCTCCAGGAACGAATTCAAGGAAAATGTTCAGAGCTTCCTCCTCTCTAGCAGTTCCCAGATAACGCACGATATTGGGATGAGACAGGTTCTGGAGAAGCTTCACCTCTTCCTCCAGCTCGCGAATGTGGGATTGAGCCCTGTCTTTGGTGACGTTGTTCTGTGCAATGCACACCTGCTTCACTGCAATCAGTTCGCCGGAGTCCAAATTCAGGCCCATGTACACTCGCCCATATGCTCCTGCAAACATTCAAGTGCCCAACAACGTCAGTAAGGAGGCAGGAAGATACCCTTCTTCAACGTCCCAGGCTAACCAGAAAGCATGTCAATGCTTCAATAAACCAGTTACAGGGATTTTCCCTGCAAGAGTTGTGAGAGGGAAACTAATTTTTCC